CGGGACTTGGGCGGCCGCAGGCGGGAAGCGGGGGGTGTGACACCGGAGAGGGGGAATCGGGGAGATCCATCGGGGGCGGTGCCGGGGCGCGGAGGCCGGGGGGCGTTACCGGAGCGGCGCGTCGCTGCCGGTCTGGCCGGTCCCGGTGCACCGAGGCTCCCTGGAGCCGCTCCCTGCTCCCCGCACCCGAGCCGGGGCCATCCCGGGCAGCGGCGGCCGCGGGCTCCCTTTGTTCGTACCGGGCCGGAGCAGCGCGGGAGCCCCGGGGCCCGTCCCGGTGCTGTCCCGGTGCTGTCCCGGTGCTGTCCCGGTGCTGTCCCGGTGCTGTCCCGGTGCTGTCCCGGCAGTGCCCGGTGCTGTCCCGGTGCTGTCCCGGCAGTGCCCGGTGCTGTCCCGGTGCTGTCCCGGTGCTGTCCCGGTGCTGTCCCGGCAGTGCCCGGTGCTGTCCCGGTGCTGTCCCGGGACAGCAGCGATCGGGGGCAGGAGCGGCCGGGGCTCCCCAGGCTGGGGGTGAAGGTCAGAGGAGCCTCCGATGGTTTTCATTCTGTGTCACGGAGCTCCCGCTGCTCCACAGGGGTTGTTCAAGGACATCACCAAAATTTGGCGAATTTGCTCCATTCTGAGTATTACCTCAAAAACTAATGGGGGGATTTTTTTAGGAGGGTAGATGTCCTTTCTCCTTTTAGGGCTGAGTTACACAGGTGTATCTCCACAAGGAGATATMAACACTTTACATTTTAACCTAATTCTCCACAGTTGTGATGCAATGCCAGGTAGCACTGTGGATACACAGCTATTAAGTCTATGTTAGTTTTCTTTCATTACATAAACACATCATGTAATTATTGGAACAGTTTAAACACCACGCGATACAAGCARCAGCAGTTTTGGGAACTTGTCTGTCAGGACTTCTGGAACTGGTCATTTGGGTTCTGCTGTGATGTGATTACACCACTGGCTCCTGGAAAAACAGCAGTTCCTCTCCAGGATCACCGGAGAGAAAACAAAGCTGTTCCAGGATTACTGACATTGTCGCATTGTTGCATTGGTGTAGGTTTAGGAAATACCCTCTTTAAGAGAAAAAAAGGAACAACAAGCTTTGTTCTTCGTAATGTTTTTTAAAAAGTAGAAGAGTTTTGAGCCAAGGGCTGACAGGGATYTTGAAGCTTCCTCTTGCCAATGTGCCCTCCCCGTGCCTGGAACCTGCATTTGGCTGCTYTGGCTCCTGCCGCTGAGTGCAGCCTTTGCTGTCCTGTGTTGGGAACATTCTCTCACTTGGTTTGTGCCCCTGTGTGTGTGAGACCGCTGAAATGTAACCTGGAATGGTTTCATAATCATCACACGGTGATTGAGGGCCGGASGAGCTGCCACGGGCTGCAAGCTTATCTGTTTTGTTCCTCAAGTGGCACATGCCAAAGATAACTCCTCTGGTTTGTTGGCTTGGGTGGTTGTRTGTACACTTCAACTGCTCTTGATAGTTATTTTCAGTTAAATACTGGAAAGAACTTTCTTAGAAGAGTTTTGTCTCCTTGGAGGGTGGGTATGGGTTTGCTCAGGAGATTCCAGTGGGCCATAGCTGAAAGGAAAGCTCACCTTTGGGCAAGTAGAAAGTAATTATCTTTGTTTATGCTCTAATCTCTGGCTTATTGTCCAAAAAWGGTGCTATATCTGAGACTCAGGGAAAATATTTATCATCAGACTAAATAACAAAGTCTGTGTGTTTGTGATCTGAGCGCACTCCGTGCATTTCCCTGGATGTAAAGGGATAACGTGCCCTGGGAATTGCTGGATCTTATTTCTGATGCTGGGAAACTCTGTCTCTTGGCTAAAGGTTTGGAAATAGAGGGTCAGGTTCCCCAGCTGATGTGTCCAGATCTCTTTGTAGAACAGGACTGTTTGCAAGGGAGAGAACTGGATAATTGAATAGGACTGGTGTGATCTTTTGTTAAAAAAGTGGGGTGAGGGAAGGCATGGGGAGGTGTAGCCTGAAAATGTCCTTGTAAAGGTCAGGTTAGGAGCCTGGAGGCTGGCAATGGATTTGGATTCAGTTTTGGGAAGGGGAAAAGGAACGCTAATACTTGTTTATTAGTTCTTTGATCCAGAGATGCTTTTTTTTTTGTAAAATAATAACATAAAATGAATAGGGCTCTTTCCCCCCCCCAATTTCCAGCTCCCAAGTGTTGAGTGGCCCTAAAAGGGAATGCTTGGGATTGTGATCTATTCAGCACAACAGACATCTGTGCACTCTGTAGTTCCCWGTGGATCAGTGGGGAATACGGGTGCATTCTGGTGAGGTTTTTAGAGCAGTGACTTTATCTGTAGCATCTGCTCCCAGTCTGTYCCTCAGCAGTGTGGGGTGACTGATGCAAACGAAGCAGGTASAGMTCTTCTCTAGCAGCACTTCCACATRAGRAAGCTGARACTGTACCACTYATCTGCCTTCAATGTTCCCTCTTGKTGGTGGATAAATGATTGCAGTCCAAACTGGCTCCTGCTCTTTATTTCTCTAGGTATTTTTACCTGTAGGTTTTAGGACTGAGTTTATTTATGTTATTGTGCTCATTAAAGGCTGCAGAGGCACGGTAACAATAGCATGGCTTATTSCTRTAACCCTGGGAAGTACAAGYCACAATGGGAGTAGTTAGAATATGGAATAGAAATGATTAGTGCCCTGACTAATAGCTTTAAAATACCAAWCTGCAGCTGGTAGCTGTCCCTGCTGTAAGCCTGAGCTCTTTGSTAGCTCGTGGGGAGATGCAGCTGCACATTTCCACGTCATCTCTTTCTAAGGAAAAAGCATGGATGCAGTCATGTTGAAAGCCAATGTTCAACACTCACTGTCCTGGGGTAACAGAATTATGTGATACTCTTTGTTCTGAGGTCTCAAAGGAAGCTCCTGCTTTTTCATTCTGGTTTATAGTGCCACAACACTGCTATGACTTGGTGAGCCTCTGGCAATAAAAGTGTTTCCCATTGGTATTGATTCAGTCTAAGAACCTGTGAATTTAATCTGGGCAAGGACTGAGATGGTTTGGAAATGAAGCCGTGCATCTCCTGAGCAGATGTTTGGATATTCCACATCTAAAAGCTGACCAGGCAAATGCTGCAGCTTTGACATGAGCACAAATCCAGTAAATATCAGAGACAAGAACCAGGCTGTGTCTTTTCTCACTCTGTATGGCTGCTTCTTTATGCTTTAGCATTTCTTTGCTTCTTCTGTTGYCCTGGCCTATGAAAATGTCATTTCAGTCAATACAGTGAGTTTTCTAAATTACACCTTTGGGTCAAGCCTTGATCAGGCTTTTTTTTTGACACAATGACAAAGATAAGCAGACYTCCCAAGCGTTCCACTCGTGGAATTTTCTCTCAGATATGTGAATGATCTGCAGAAAGGCAATGCTGACAGATCTGTGGTGTCCAGTTCAGGTGGATTTGGAGCAACCAGTGGTGATCACTTCACCATCAGGAGGGTGAGCCAGGAGAGCCTGTAAGAAACATTGCAAACATTGCTGCTTTATGGAATTCCATGGAAAACACGAGTGCTGAGACACTTCCCTGCTYAGCAGAGTGGCACAGAGTAGATTTCTGATTTCTCTTGCTGTATGACAGCTACAGAACTCTCTGTTCCCAGCAACTGGAAAASTGCTCTGGCACAAACAAGACAGAACTTGCTTTTGTGTGTAACTCTCCAAGGCACAGTTATGCAAATCAGTTGTAAAGGAGCAGTGACTTCAGACAARCTAGACTTCAGCTGAATGTTTTAGCTGGATAAGCTAATTTAACCCTTTAGCATTTGCCATTGCAGTTTGAGATCTCTGAGAAGCTTCTTAATGCTGTAGTGTTTTGTGCTTGACACAAAGTGTGGTGAAAGATGGACATGACTTAGACTCAGAAGAGTATATCTGATGGTTGTGTGAAGCAAGATTGTATTTGCATSAGACAAGGATTTAGTCTGAAATTATGTCCATTTTTAGCAAAATAATGTAATAAAAAGGCTTATTCCAGACAGTGTAATGAGKATCAGCAAAGGTGCAAGGGAGGATAAAGCTTTGTGTGCAGTTCAGATGATGGATCTTTGTTCTTGTTTAGGCAGTAAAATTGTATTTAATAAATGATGGTGATATTGAAGCAGTTTGAAAGAACAGTAATGAAGTGTGTGTTTTGTGTGGCATTGATTTTTGTAGAGTGGTTTGGGCCTGTTCCATTAGTGTGGATAATGGCATTCCCAGGAAAGGATCTCAGCACTGCAGTGTTCCCATCCCTGCAGTTCCCGTTTGGTTCATCCCAATTCCTCAGTGGTGTTTGCAGCTGTGGGATCCACATGTGTCATTTACAGATGCACATTTTGCTCTCTGCTGTTAACTGTGGCTGCTCCTTGGTGACATGTCCTGTTATCCTGCCCATCCCACCCTCACCTGGCTGTGCATCTGTCCATGTCCCTTGCCCCTTGTGTCATTTACAGATGCACATTTTGCTCTTTGCTGTTACCTGTGGCTGCTCCTTGGTGACATTACCCAGTGCTGTTATCCTGCCCATCCCACCCTCACCTGGCTGTGCATCTGTCCATGTCCCTTGGGAGGGTGACAAATGCATCTTCTACAACTGCTCTTGGAAGCTGGAGAGAAAATGATCCCCTCTCAGGGCAATTTGCAATCCAAAAAAAACTGAAAGCTGAAGTTAAATGAGGATTATACATCATAGCTTCCAATAGTGATTTCGGGTCCAAAAAATACCTACTAAASTGGGTTTCTTTTTTCCAGGTTTTCAGGATGAATCTGGAAAAACTCAGCAAGCCTGAACTACTGACGCTGTTTAGCATTCTTGAGGGAGAATTAGAAGCAAGAGATCTTGTCATAGAAGCTTTAAAGGTAGGTATTAAGTATCAGGGTAGGAAACAAGCATGACAACAGTACTATTGTAACTTCTGCAAAGTGCTTGKATCCAAGGTTAAGTTCAGAGGTAAAGATTTATTACTGGTTCAGAATCCCATCTTAATACCAGCAGGATTACATAATAAATGCTGTGTATCATTTTTGTATTGGAATTGATTCTTGGAAGCTGGCTGCAAGAAGCATTTTGGYGTTGAAATATGGTATTAGGTGTGTGTTTTCATCTTTCTGATAAAGAACTGTGTGTTTCTGCAGGGTAAAAAATCTACCAGAATTCCTTTGTTGTTTTTTTTCTCCTTYAGCAAGGAGGGCTGCTTAAAGCAGAAACTCTGCTTGCCAGGAGAGATCACAGATTAGTCTTTTAGTGACAATACCGTCACACTAAGTCAAAAGCATCCATGGCTTTGTGTTGACTAAGCCACATAAGCTGGCAGTGCTGAGAGCAGCAGCCCTGAATGCTCAGCTCCTTATTCTTTGCCTTTGCTGGCAGAGCATTAGTGTAACCCTCAGTGAGCTCAAAGTGCTCCAAAAAGCCACTTTCAATTGTGTCAGTGCAGCTGAGGTCGTGGTGCTGGGAGCAGTGATGGGATGTGCTGCTGGAGCTCCTTCTACAGTGCAGGGAGCTGCTCTTGGGGCAGAACTGGCTGGAATGGTGAGCTCTGTGCTGCTCATGGCCTCTGCTCTCTGCACAGTTTGCTGTGGTGTTACTGAGCCTGGAAATTAGTGTTTAAAACACATTGTCCATGTGTAATTGTGCTGCTCTGAAGGATGCCTGGTTGTCACTCAGCCTCAGTAAGGTGGGAACAAATACTGGTTTAAACGATGGCAGGGGTCAATTTTTGAGGAAATTAGTTGTGTCAGGGTTGAGTATTGAGGCTCTTTCAAGCTGACCTGTCGCTGCTCATAGTGTTTAAAACTTGCAGCTATTCCAAAAGAGGAATGGCAGCTTGCAGGCCTGAGAGCTGCAGGGGCTTGGGTTTCCAGCAAAAGCTTTTCCTGCTTGATTCCAGGAGTGCAGTGACATCCTTCTCTAGAACAGTCAGCATGGTTCTTTTTTGTCATTAGTTGCTTTTGCATTCAGACAATCTTTTTATTTCAGAGGAGTATTGTTACCCTCTCAAAACTATTGAKCAGGTGGAAGGTTTGGCCTCTGTTTTGGAACATGCTGGCAGGTTTCTCCTGTGTCCTGAGATCTGTTTTTTCATAGTGTGTGGTCAGAATGTGTTACCAAACAATCCCCACTTCAGTATTTGAGTGTGAAATGTGAATAATGGAGCACACAGAGACCGAAGGGAAGGAATGCAGCAGCTCCATTCCAGAGGCTTTTATTGCCTCCCTTCCAGCAGTGTAAAGCAATTATCTTTCTTGTTGAGATTTAACCTGCAGTTCCTCTTGTGTGAGGAGATTAATACAGTAAGAATACCCTTTGACATAATTTGTCAAGTACTCATACCTGAGAAGAAATTAAATGAAATTGTAACCTATGCTTGATGATTATGGAGTGTAAAACAGTGAGCTAATCAAAGGTTAGTGCCATTTCCCCTTCCTCTGTCAGGGATGTGCTGCAGTGGTGCATCTCAGGATTGGGAGGAAAGCTGGAGGTGCTGGGAAGGGCAGTGAAAGGTTCAAATGGAGCTGGTTCAAAAAGGTTCAAATGGAGCTGGTTCGAAAAGGTTCAAATGGAGCTGGTTCAAAAAGGTTCAAATGGAGCTGGTTCAAAAAGGTTCAAATGGAGCTGGTTCAAAAAGGTTCAAATGGGAGCTGGTTCAAAAAGGTTCAAATGGGAGCTGCCTCTGGCTGCCTCCTGAGCGTGACCTCGGGGGGAAATGGGCCCTGGAACCTGCAGCACTGGGACTGGGACTGGGAATTGGTGTCACTGGAACTGGGGCTGTGCCTGCAGCAAGGGAATTGGTGTCACTGTCACCTGCACTGCTCTGTGCTCCAGAGCTGTCCCCAGGGATGCTGCAGCACTGGTACTCAGTGTCACTGTCACCTGCACTGCTCTCTGCTCCAGAGCTGGCCCCAGGGATGCTGCAGCACTGGGAATTGGTGTCACTGTCACCTGCACTGCTCTGTGCTCCAGAGCTGGCCCCAGGGATGCTGGCTGATCCTGCAGCACTGGAATTGGTGTCACTGTCACCTGCACTGCTCTGTGCTCCAGAGCTGTCCCCAGGGATGCTGCAGCACTGGAATTGGTGTCACTGTCACCTGCACTGCTCTGTGCTCCAGAGCTGTCCCCAGGGATGCTGCAGCACTGGAATTGGTGTCACTGTCACCTGCACTGCTCTGTGCTCCAGAGCTGGCCCCAGGGATGCTGCAGCACTGGAATTGGTGTCACTGTCACCTATACTGCTCTATGGCTCCAGAGCTGGCCCCAGGGATCCTGGCTGATCCTGCAGCCCAAGCCTGGCTTTCTCTGGCAGCAGCTCTGTTGCCCTTTTGATACAGGGAAGGAAAAGCCATGGAACTGCTTCATCTGGTGGCTGGGCAAAGGTTCAGCAGCAGAGAGCTTCCAGCTTTGCTTTGTTCATTTATTTGGAATATACAGCAAGAGGAATTCTGGCCTTGCACTGTTTTTCTCATTGTTTGCTGATAGTAACTGTGGTAACAGCTTTACCATGCCTCACTGGCTGCAGGAATTTTTGTGTGACTAATTAAAGGAAACCTTGCTAATCTACTCACATTTTGATGCGTGAAGGTGCCGCCCTGAAGAAAAAAAACTTCTAAGGCTGGATTAAAGATTGACACACTTGAGAGCATTTAGTTTGAMYTGCATATGTTGGACAAATGGAGTTGTGATTTACACTGAGAGGGGTTGGGACACCCAGGGCTGGGGGTTTGTTCCACCAAACAGTCTCACCTGCTCTCACAGCCCTCTCTGTTCTTTAAAAATTACAGACAGTGTGTCCTTGGCAGGTGGATTTCTGTGGCAGGGATGGTTTTATGTTCAATGTGGGTATATGCTGGGAGCAGGTGAACTGCAGTCCTCTGAACTTTTTGGGGCATTGCATAATCCTGAGCCACAGCAGTGATTTTCTCCATCAGTTATGTTAAACATTTTCATGTCAGTGGTTGAAAATGAGAATTTTATCTGCCTGTTTGGTTCYCACATAGTAACAAAAATACTTCATGGGCCAGTTTGACTTCTGCTTCAGATTTCAATGCTTCTGAGCTTTGGTTGTTTGAGTCAATCCTTTGGTACATTATAGGAAAGGACAAGCACTTGCAGAGGAAGAATAGCTTAATTTGTAAACATGTCATCTGATTATAGTAGAGTCTGCAATAATTGATGTTCCTGCACGCTTCGAGACAAACATTTCTCATCTGGCATTTAGCAGAGAGAATCCATGCATGCAGATGACAAAGCTTAAAATAGTTTTCTTCTCCCTCATGGTATCAGGCACTTGTTGGCTGGCACTGGCCCCGTTTCTGTGTTAAAATTGAGCTGCACATTCCAGACACTGCTGGTTGAACACTTTTCTTCTCCTCCCTCTCTTCACCCCCTCTCCCCAAATCTTTAAACTGTATGCAAAACATTCTTTCCCAGTGCTTCAGTTTGCTTCCTCTGTTTTGAAACTCCTTTGGAAAAAAAAAACACTTTCTTTTTTGCCTGAAAGTAGCTTCCTGTCCACTACATAAATCTCAATGTTCTCCTTGGAACAGATCTTAGGTCTCACTTCTCATTGTGCTCCTTTTCCTGTAGTTATAATTATGTTTATATCATCCAAAAAGCCCAGATGCTGTCAGGGAGTTGCATAATCCTGAGTGTTGGGCTCTTGGTCCTTATTGCTGTGTAGAAGGATTCATGAAGCACACACAGGTTTGCCTTCTGAAATAGCACACCACGACTGGAAACAATTCAATATTTAAATGGATCTCTATCACTGGGTTAAAGCACTTTGCTCCCTCCCCCTGTTCTTGTRAAGAGAGTTTTCCATACATTAGAACTGAACTTCTGTTTACTTTTAGAAAACAGGAAACAGCTTCCTGGCTTCTTCTTTATGTTAATAAGGCCTCAGGCAATTTACACTGGAATAGAAACTATTTTGTGTTAATAACTGGGAGCTGCTGTTCATCTTTGCATGAGTTCAGTGATTCACTGCAAAGCCATATTAATGCCTGCAAAATKAAGTGTTGTTTGTTAGTGGCTTTAGAAATTAGGTTCACAGTGCAGTTTCAATAACTTAAGTCTACCTCTTGTTTAAACAAAAAGAAATGCTCAGTAATACGAAACGTTCCTGCAGATGCTGGTAAATCTTTCACAGATGGGGCAAATTTGCTTTCTGCATCCCTTACAAAGCAGCTTSCATGGAGCAGTGTTCCCATGGGTGCTGTCTGCTGGAATGCAGCCTTTCCTTACAGCTTTTCTTGCAACTTTGGGGAATTTTGTGTTTCTTTCTTGCTTGAAGCAGCATCTTTAAAAAATTATTCTCCTCCCCTTCAGGTGGGTGCTGAGCAGGGAGCAGAGAGGTGTGGGAATGAATTCCACCCTGGATGGCTGTGCTCTGATTT